CGCTTTCTTCCCCATTATTTTCTGGGAGGAGGTCTGGGCCCGACGTGGCTCTCTCGTAGAAGGCCGTCAGGTCCTGTTTGGGCATATCCAGACTGGCCCCAGTGCTGTTTCTTTTCTCCTGAATGGTGCCCTTTACATATGTGTCATCGTTTCGTTGGTAAGCAAGCTTCACACCAGTTAACTTAGAAAAATACTGACAGTTGACAGGCTTTGGGATACATTCATCGGGAGATTCTCACGGTCATCTATATTCTCGGCTCTTTGTGGCCGGTTACATGGGGCTTGGACTTCCTTCAGGCTAATGCGTCCCTGTCCGCCACATGGTTCATGTCATGCCTTGCCATGAGCACGTTCACGTTGCTCCCGGCTATGAAGGTGGAGGATGTCTCTCTCATGTATGTTTTCAAATCCGGCCCGAGATTGAACATCGCACACTGACTTGTTGGCAGCGTGGCAGGAGGAGTCATCATGGCTTCCATAGGTCTAGCATATCTTGTCTGGGAGGACGTGTTGCTCGCTAGGTCGTCTACGGGCAAAGTAGTCGGCCAAGCGCTGCCAATCGCGAGGGCACTGACAGGTATTCAAGTAAGCTAATCTCCCCGACTATATATTGATCCCAATCTAACGAGAGACTGCCAGGTTGGCTTGATCCTCCTAGCAATCGTAGTCACGCGGTCCAGCGCTCTGTCTCTTCAAGCAAAACTCGGGCTTCCGCGAGGAAACCAGATTGTGGGATGGATTGTCTTGGGTGAGGCGTCTGTCTGCCACCTATTATCAATGCGCTGACGAGTTGTCTAGTTGTATCCCTCCTCATGCCTCTCACGTACCGGTTGCAGCCTAACAACCACTACTTGCATCGTCTTATGAGCTTGTTTCTGACCTGTGCTCCGTCATTTGTAATTCTCACCCTCTCTTACGAAGGTCTTTTTTACGTGACCTTTAGCATTCTGTTGGTTGCATGGGTTAGTCTTGAACACCGCATCTTCGTCTTCGTCGACGCTGCCAATGAACATCGGCAACCCACATCTAACGGAAGCGCCGCCAAGTCGCAGAGCGTACCACAGCCGGTCTTCAGAGCTCTTACTTTGGCAGACGCACGAGTGGCCCTGTTCTTCTTCGTCCTCCTGCAATCGGCTTTCTTCAGCACAGGCAACGTAGCATCTGTCTCCTCCTTCAGTCTGGATGCTGTGTACCGTCTGATTCCGATATTTGACCCTTTTTCTCAAGGGATACTTCTCATCCTCAAGCTCATGATTCCCTTTGCCCTCATCTCGGCGAACCTCGGAATCCTCAATGCCCGGCTAGGTGTTGCTCCCTCGTCTCTATTCATGGTTGTAATGGCCATCAGCGACGTACTTACCCTCTACTTTTTCTGGGTCGTCAAGGACGAAGGCTCATGGTTGGAGATCGGATCCACCATTAGCCACTTTGTGATTGCGAACGTGCTGTGCCTCTTTGTGGCATCATTGGAGGGAGTTAGCGCGCTCTTCATTGGTGACGTCGAAGTGGAGGGTCGTCAGGGGAGACATGAACAAAAAGAAAATGGGACGGCGAGTTTAGTTTATACCGAGGCTCCTCTGGCCAACGGTCAAGTGTCTTAAGTATCGGTGAGATCGTAGTGATCCGCAGCGTTGATTGGAAACGATACACCACGCATATACGACTAGCATAAGTTGCGTAATCGAGGAACTATAGCCTGATATTCCTTGTAACGGCATTCTTGTGTGACAAAACAAAATCCGGGGTGCGTTCAAGCTGCCGGCCGTTCCGTCTCGCCATGTTACCACCGAATCTCATTTGTGCATTTCTCACCTGCGTTGTTTCTACGTCGTCCGATCCTGGTCATGATACCTGCAACCTCGGCATTTCTGTTCACGCAGTTGGCAAGCGACAAGATCGCACTTAGAAGAACTACTGATCGACAACTACTGGGACGACTTGCGTCGAGGTATGAAAATGAACCGGAACCATTTCCACAAGCCTCGGGCTGAGCTTGCTAAGGAGGAGGGGGGCCGCTGGGTAAGGAAGGGAAGGGTACAACGTGCCTGGCAGCAAAGTGACTCATGACGACGACGAAGGCTCATTGGTCTTGGAAGACGCCGTGCTGGTCTCTGGTGGTCAACGGCCACTGATCTGGAACGAAGGTGAAGACAGCGTTCGTCCTGCGGTAGGCGTGCTTTCTAAGCATCATGTCCTTTTACATCTGGAAGACGTTGAGAGAATTAGAGCAGAGATAAATGGGTAGAACGCATGTCCCTTCGAAGCTATCAGAATCGATCATATGGTGCGGCGAGATGGGAGCTGAGGAATGTTGGGGTGCGAACAGGTGGTCTATCAGAGCCAAAAATGACTTGGGTCTAACAGTGCTGTACAGTCGAGTTGACAGCGTTCAATGATTTCATTTTGAAGGTTCGAGTTTCATCTCAGGCTTGACGAAGTGCGTTCAATACTTCTTGCATCCCTACTCCTGCGCTTGTACAAGTAAGCCAGTGGTGATGATGAGACGAGGTGACCTTGCCAAAGTCACGACGCCCCACCAACCTATCTATCCTGGCTCTATGCATCCCAGAACACCAACAAAAGCAAAAAAAAAAAAAAAAAAAAAAAAAAAAGGGGGGGAGGNAAAAAAAAAAAAAAAAAAAAAAAAAAAAAAAAAAAAGGAGAGTAGGCAGGTGGAGTAAGATCCTAGCTCCCGACGGCGAGGAGAGCGCGGGGTCAGATTCGGAGGGCTACTCCAATCCCCATTCATCCCAAGACTAACATCGGCAGATTTCCCGCCACCAAATTTGATTCATGGGGCGGCATCTCTAAGCAAAGTCATTATTGACGTTTGAAAGCCGTCTGTCGTGAGCCAGGTCGTTCCATGCGGCAGGTCGATCTTCCCAGTCAACCCTCTAACGGATCTGTGCATTTCTGCCAATTCCCATGCGCAGAGAGCCTTGGGTTTCGGTGCCAGCCATCAACGGGTTGCATCGCGTCCCTTGCCCAAATGCGACATGAGCGCGCGCGCGCCTACCCCAAAAAAGCACATGAGCTGATCAAGAACACACCGGGATGAACTTCAAGGAACAGCTTCACCAGGTGGGCAGTGCCCTCCGCATGATCCGGCACGCTGGGCGTTAAAACAGCCAGAGAAACGGTGTACACCGACGGGAAATATCGGCAAGCCGATCTGCTCTTTGAACCAGCGCAGCCGTCGAGGAAGCCAGGCTCAGTCTTGATCATATGCTTTTCTCGGCAACATCTTGGGACCACCGGGGATAATCAGAATCACGTCGAGGCATGGCGTGGTCCTTACCCAAACGGGAAATACATGCGCGGACCAAGCCGTTTCGGAGCACATCCCCGATCCAACGGACCGCGTAAAGTACTGCACCTCCCACACCGTTCGATCCCCGATGACCCTTTACCCCAGATAATGCAGATTGCGCCGACTGCAGCCAAGAGGAGCAAGGAGCATATTAAGAAGAAGTAGGAAAGCCGGGAAGGAGTCGAAAGGGTGGGTTCATTCCCATATCTAACATGGATGCATGCATGATATGGCGACCAGTGGCATGTAATAGATTTTGGGTGACCTGTTCCGCAATACGGATATTCTGTACTGGCAAGAGAGAGAGAGACAAGATAGGGTCCAGCGTCCATACTGGTAATGTTCCCGACTTCACTTCACGCTTCATGGCATACACACACACTCTCACAAAACAGACTTGCAGTCGGGATGTCTTTCTGCACTACGACCGCATTTTCGCCAGGTCCCGGGTTGCGCAGCGTGGGGAGGCGTCAGAATCCTTCCAGCAGCGCGCGCCGTTGAGAAGTCTCACATGCCTGCCAAGCGGTTCCCTTCAAGCGCATTTAATTTTTATTTTATTTCCATCCCCATGTACAGCGCCATAGGCGAATGTCGGCCAGGCTGGCACACCCACCCGCGTATCCATCGCCTCGGCGTCAGCAAGCAATAGAATCGACAATAGGAAGCTAGGCTGCTGGCGGCGGCGTTCAGAGAGGTTGGCATTGGTCATGCAGGGTATATGTGGGCGCGGAGAACGGGAACGAGGTGTTGAAGGCATGCGTGGTTCCTGAAGCCTCTAGTGTTCACAACCGTGGCATAATTTGCGAGGCATTGCTGGCATAGGCGGCTGCATTTCGAATATATTAACATTGTCTTGGTCCCATCCACGCCGTGTTGATTAACTGCTGAAGAAGGCATGTTGAGCGTACGAACGGATAGACGCAAAACGTAGCAGAGCGCTTGAAAGCAACAACATCCACCTGCCGGCCCAATACCAATCGTTTGGTCAGCCGACACTCGAGCCACATCTGGAGCTCATCCCAGAGAAGAAGAACCACAAGAGAAGAAGAAAAGGAGAAAAAGGAGGACCGGACGAAGCTGATTGCCTTTTTCGGGGTATACCAGCGGGTCAAGCTGTTGATGAGCGAGCTCATCGAGCAAGCGGCGAACTGGTTTGCACGTAGGCGGCAACTGGGTGGGCACAAGCTGATCTTGGGTCCCGATTTCCGATGTCCCGTCATCAGCCGACCTCTAAGCTCTAGACGGCAACCTTGTCCATCTTCCAGACCGTTTGCTACGTAGCGGGCGTAGGACATGCAAGGCAAGGTACCCAAGACAAGAGAGGAGGAGCAGCAGCAGCAGCGGAGTGAGCCAAGAAGCAAGCAAGGCCGAAGACCATCCTGCACGTCAGGGCAAAGGAGCCTCGAGGCAGACTGGCGCTCGTTGCCACAAGTGTGTGACAGGCCAGCAGCCATTGCATGATTGCTTGTTCTCGGCATCGCGGTGCATCGAAGGGAAGACGGAAGGTTGACTTACAATAAGGTGCCGGGGTCAGCCGATTCTTTCAAGCTTCCATCTTGAGAGTTGCTCATGAATCTGTCTTGAGTTCTGCCCTCTCAATTCGCGTACTTCCTTTACACAGTTTGACTCGGACGACCTCGCCTCGTGCTGTCAGGTCTCTAGGTCTCTATTCTCCCGGAACGTGGATTGGATGGCTGTGCTGCAGTGGCCACTGGCGCCGGACTTCGAAGTTGACGGCGAAATCGAGGTTCCGGCCGTGGTGTTTGGCACTGGGCTTATTGGGCTGGACATTAACTTGGACAGCAAGTCCATTCTTGAAACGGGAGTTATTGACGACATTGACGTCGGGCCCAACAACGCGGCAGTGGACGCGGACGCGGAAGCGGAAGCAGAAGCAGAAGCAGAAGTAGACCAGGGTGCTGACACGGCCGAATCCTGGCTTCTGACAGAGACGACGACTAACAGCAGCGGCTTGGACGAAGCCCAGCTGCAGCGACACCAGCGGCAGCATCGACAACAGCATCAGCAGCAACACGAGGCCGCTCCGGCGCCAGCAGCAAGCAGAGAAGGCAAGCACAGCGGTGCTGCGCCATCTTCTCCCGCACTCGCACCTGCAACTCCTGCGCCTGCACTTGCACTTACACCTGCCCTTTTCGCTCCGTTGTCGTCTCCTTCTCCTGCGTCGGCGCCAGCTGCACGTACACCTGCACCTGCAACTGCACCTGCACTTGCGCCTGCACTCGCACCCCTGCCTGTATCCTTTTACAAGTACGCTGCTGCTTCTGCGGTCGCCGTTGCGCCTCCTCTCCCACACCCCGCGCTTGTGTTTGCGCCTGAACTGGACCAGGACAAGCACAAAGACAAAACCAAAGACCAAAACGACAGCGACAACGACAACGGCAGCGCCGATCCCTCGGCGGCAGACCCACTCGTCTCCTTATTACAACTGGACCCTTTGATAAGCGCTCCTCCTGTTGGTCTTGCTGGGTCGTCGTCGGCAGCCTGGCACATTCCGAACCCCAACTCAAATCCCAGCACCAGCAACAGCACCAGTTCTTGTTCCATCCACCCAGAAGAAACATCTTTGCCTGCACCCCCCCTCCATTCGCATCCGCACCCGCACCCGCACCCGCATCTGCTGCACCACCACAACCAGTCCCAGCTGTACCAAAACCAACTGCGCCAGCACCATCCAGGTCTGCTCCAGAACCATCTCCCGCAACGTCCACGCCATTACGCCCACCAGCTCCAGAACCAGCACTACCCGTACCCAGCCCAACACCATTACCATCGCCCACCACAACCACTTCCCGTCCACGTCCAGCACCGCCAGTCATCCCAGCTCCAGCCCCAGTCCCAGTCCCAGTCCAAGTTCCAGCACCAGGCCCTAGAGGCCCTTCGACCTCCGTCTACGCCGACACACCCAGTGCCTCTGCTCCAACCTGCAGACCCTGCTGCGCCTGGGCCACTGCAGTTGCTAGGCCCAGTGCCAGAAGCAGAGCGAGCGGCGCTGCTGCCACTCCTATTCCCTCCCGGGCCTCCAGCTCCAGCTCCAGCTTCCGCCTCTGCTCCTATTACTAGTCGACCAGCGAAATTCGTCGACGAACTTCCTCACAACTCTCCCGACCCCGTCGCATCACCCGCCAACAGGTCGCCAGACCAAGACGAGTCAATCATGGACGTCGACATGTCCTCCGCAGACCTCGCGGCCCAGAATCTTCAACGGCCGCAGCAGTCAACCCCCCAGAAATCCGACTCGCCATCCCAGGCGGGGGGAACTTCTAATGTCGCCAACACAAGCCCGAATCCCCAATCTGGGAGCTCTGCCTCTGCCTCTGCCTCGGCTGCCGCCGCCGCCGCTGCCGCCGCCGCCAACCACATGAGTTTTCGCAGGTTCGTCGCCCACGTCCAGCATACACCTTACCCTCGCGATGACTTGTGAGAAGTCATGAACCAGTGCGTGCTGACATTGCTTCGTTTGGCTTTAGGCAACGAGCCTCTAGAGCATGCGAGGTATGTAGAGTTCCCGCCTTACCTTGCCCAGAGCAGCGCCTGCCCGCCATTCCCATGGCCCCTCTGCCCACTTTATGCCGAGGCATCGCTGAGCGCGCCGCGCCGCCGCGTTGCGCTGCAAGATCGATCCCGCACCCGTTCTGATCTTATTCTCGATGCCGGACCATGCTGACCATTGACCTTTGCATTCATAGACATGCCACGCACGCAAGGTATGATTAGCCTCTGCAAGCGCGACCCCCCTCTCACCTTTCGATTCCGTGTACCGAGGCTACCGATATCTGGACCGTCCATAAACAGATGTCCCCTTTGCACGCGCCCAATCACAACCCGCCAAATCTCGTCCTTCTGTGTTGACATTCGATTCAGGTACGATGCGATGCTGCAAGCCTCGGCGTGCCCTGCACGAACTGCGTGGCCTTCCAAATCGAATGTCGCATCCCGACCCCGAAGAGAAAGAAGACTACGAATGCCGGAACAAGTAAAGACTCGGACAGGTCTGCTCCAGCTTCACCGCTGCCATCTGCCCCAAGCACCGGGCTAACTGAGCTTCTCTCTAGCGAGAAGGGGGACAACGCTGAGGATCGCTCTCCGCGAGCTGCGAGCACTGCTGCTCCCGGCACCTTTCCGCCGAGAACACCCGCCGTCTATCACACCACCGATGGCACACCGTCCTCTACATACACCGAGTCACAGGCCCGAAAAGAGGAGATTGATAGCGGCACCTACCTCAACTTGGTCATGAAGCCCAAGTTCACGAGAGCGCCCATCACCGATGCTGGCAGAGTCGCGTATCTGGGAGAGTCATCGAACTTGACGTTGCTGGTACACGACCGCCAAGGGTCCTCCGACGTGGTTCACTATCCTCTGCCCGAAAATGTCAGGGGCTCAAGAGCCCGCCTCACTGAGCTTGACAACGTGGAAATAGACATCTTACACCAGCGCGGTGCCTTCCTCCTCCCGCCCAGGTCCCTCTGCGACGAGCTCATTGATTCCTACTTTAAATGGGTTCACCCGATTGTGCCCGTCATCAATCGCACTCGCTTCATGAGGCAATACCGCGACCCCAAAAATCCTCCCTCCCTCCTTCTGCTGCAGGCTGTGCTGCTGGCCGGCTCCCGAGTCTGTACGAATCCGCAATTGATGGATGCCAACGGCTCGACAACCCCTGCCGCGCTTACCTTTTACAAGAGGGCCAAGGCCTTGTACGACGCCAACTATGAAGACGATCGAGTGACCATCGTCCAGTCCTTGCTGCTGATGGGTTGGTATTGGGAAGGCCCCGAAGATGTAACCAAGAACGTCTTTTACTGGAGTCGTGTAGCCACCATTGTTGCGCAGGGATCCGGCATGCACCGCAGCGTGGAGCAGTCACAACTGAGTCGTTCCGACAAGAGATTATGGAAAAGGATCTGGTGGACTCTCTTCACACGCGACAGATCGGTGGCTGTAGCTCTCGGTCGGCCGGTGCATATCAACCTAGACGACTCGGATGTGGAGATGCTTACCGAGGACGATTTTATCGAAGACGAAGGCGACCGGAACAGCGAATACCCTCCAGATCCGATTCATGTTCAATTCTTCATGCAGTACGTCAAGTTATGCGAGATCATGGGCTTGGTGCTATCACAGCAGTACTCCGTTGCTTCCAAAGGACGTCAACGCAACGCCATTGATTTAACGCACAGCGACATGGCCTTGGCAGACTGGCTTCAGAACTGCCCAAAGCTCGTGTACTGGGAGGTTGCCCGGCATCACTTCTGGTCTGCGCTGCTTCACTCCAACTACTACACAACATTATGTCTGTTACATCGGGCCCACATGCCACCAAACGGTGGGAGCCGATTTCCCGACGATGCTCCTTATCCATCACGGAACATCGCTTTTCAGGCGGCGGCCATGATTACCTCTATCATCGAAAACCTAGCTGCTCACGGCGAGCTACGCTTTTGCCCGGCCTTTGTCGTGTACAGTCTGTTCTCCGCGCTCATCATGCACGTTTATCAGATGCGGTCGCCGGTCCCCTCGATCCAACAGGTGACCCAAGACAGGTTACGGACGTGTATGCAAGCACTCAAGGAGGTTTCGCGCGTCTGGTTGGTGGGCAAGATGGTTTATACCCTGTTCGAATCCATCATCGGAAATAAAGTACTGGAAGAACGTCTGCAAAAGGCCGCCGGCAAGAGGCACAGGAAAGCACAACAAACTCTGGCTCAACTCGAGCAACAGCAGCAACGACCCCAGGAAGCGGCGAAGAGAAAGTATGACGACATGGCGATTGACTTCAGCGTCAACACACCGACGCCTCAGGAATCGTACGAGCGATCACGTCCTCAAACGCCCAGCCATATGAAGGGCGACGGATCATCCAACTCCCAAACCATGCCACCACCCACGTCTCCAAATTCCAGACAAAATGCCGACACATTCATGGGTGGAACATCTTCGAGGCCACAGACGAGGCCGGCGACTCCGTTCAACCCGTCATTTTCTGTCCCAGCAACGCCACCAGACCTATACCTGGTGACGCGCAACTCGCCGAACATTTCGCAATCACTATGGGAGAACTTCCAGCCCGATCAGTTATTCCCTGATAGCGCCAGCATGCCGGCTTTTCCTCAAATGTCTCCCTCAGTTCCAAACCAGTCGGGCATAGACGCTGGGCTCATGGCACAACTTCAAAATCCCAACCTGCAGGGTGGGTTGTCTAGCCAGAACAGTCAATTCCAACAGAGAGCAGCAACGAAGGCAGGACTAGGCGGAAGCCCTCCGCAAGGGCACAATGTAGTACCGGGATTACAGGGTTTCCAGCAACAACAGCAACAGGGACATGGGCAGAACAATAGCAATTTGAACAGTAGTTTGTGGACGGCCAACTTTGATGGCTTGATGCCAGATGGGCACAGTCCCAGCGACAGCTGGAGCACAGGATCTGCACAAGGGCAGCCGGTCCCCAATACTCTTAACGTTGAAGACTGGTACGTCGAACGAGCATGCTGACACAAACAATGCATGAAGGTTTGTGGACTAATATCTGGCAACAGGTTCCAATTTTTCGGTATTAACAACGGGGACCTAGCGAACATGAATATCGACTTGGGGCTAGGGCCTCAGTAGGTCTGAAAAAAGTGAGGGACAGATGGTAGGACCATTCATAAGTGCCCCCTTCATGCTTCTTGGTGAGGGGCAACGGGCAAAGACACCGCATAAGTTGGCGGTACTGGAGTTATGTGTGGCGGGCCGATGGGCCTTGGTCGTAGAAATGCTTGTCAGGGGCATTGCGCGTTCCTTCAAGAGAGAACACCGCCAGAGAAATAAACGGAAGATACCAGAATAGTGGTACGGCGAGATCTACCTTGTTTGAGAACCTTTCAACGAAGATACACATCCATAACCTGGGTGGACTTGTGGGACGCCCACTCTGGGCCACTGAATGCGTGCTCCGGATCTGCCCAGCCTCATTTTCAATGAGTTTCAAAACAATTCAGTCTCTGAACTATGTGAACAGGGATAGATCAAGAATTTGTCTAGTCGGCGTAACTGGACTATGAGCCACTCGCCCCCTAACGCGCATCTCTCTCTCTCTCTTCTGCCTCCAGAAGTCATCGGGCTCATCGAAGAAGACTAAATCAGGGTCAAAAACAGATAAGAAAGAAGCACCCATTGTCCCAAGTCTAATGTATAAATCATGTTTGAAGTTCAAGAGAGCTTTAAGACCTCCCTCCTGCTGAGGATGCCATCGGCAATTGAGGAAGCCCTCCGTTTCCATTGCCTTGCCCCTGTCATGCCCGCTAACGCCTTCCCATGCACAGTCTTATCTCGATGAAGTGAGAAAAAACGACGGCCAGCCCACTCCACCCCAAGCACCACCATCGTCGTCGTCGTTGCCGCCGCCGCCTCCACTTCTGCGGCGGCTTCTGGTACCCAAAAAAGATGCTGTCAGAGGATTCCATTGGCTCGCGAATGGCTTTGTCGATGTCAATGTCTAATCGGACTTCTTGCCTTTGGCAGCACTCGAGCTGTTGGCTGAACCACGTCCTCTGACAGTCCCACCTCCATCACTCCTCCCTGTTGAGCCAACTGACATCGGCGTGGCCTCCAGCAGTCCTGTGCTCGTAATACCACCCCCGCTGACAGCCGGGGTTGGCAGCCTCCCGTCGTCGCTGTTGGCATCTGTCAACTCTATCAAGTCAAGATCGTCTAGCTGACGCCCCCGGCCCCCTAGCGTGGGCGTCCCGGGAGACTTGGCAAACGCGCCGCGCAGCCATGTCTCCACAGCGGCGGCAGCGCGATCAAGCCCAGAGCCCTGCCGGGAGGCTGCCGCTACATCCTGTCCCTCGTCGAACGGGCTTTCCACGATACCGCTACTAGACCCAGGCCGGAAACCGAAATGCGCCGTTTCGGATCCCATGACGGAGATGGACGGCAGAGATTCGTCCATGGCGATGCCAGGGAGGTGCTTCTTGGCCCAAGTGTTGAAGTAATCCTTGTCTGGGCCAGGTGCCCGCACGTTTCTACCCATAGAGCCGACACCGCCAGGCCGCCTCATCCACGCCGGTCGCGTATCCGCTGCATCACTATTCATTCTGCTCCTGGAGGAAGCTGGCGTCGACCTTCCTGGTGTGCTCGGCAGATTTGGCCTGGTGCTCAGGTTGCTTTGTCTACGAGAAGACGGCCTGCCTACTTGTTCCGGGCTTTCTGTGAACCCCGCCGCAAAGCCGGAGGCGTCGAGCGAGTGTCTTGGGGTTGACAGTGTTGAGGCAGCAGAGCGTAGGCTTTTCTTGCGCCGCGGCGGGAAGTATCCAATCGATCTCCTCGACACACGGGCAATCTCGACCGGGTTTGGATTCGAATCCAATGTCACCCATCGAACGTGCGTCCATGGCGGGTCTTCCGGTTCTTCGTTCTTAGCATCCGCCAGTCCATTGGTGGTCGGCAGGCTGAAAAAGTCCACTGGTTGTGAATGATCCGATGTCATACCATTATGTCCGTAACCACTCTTGAGTTCCGGCGTGGGCGCCAGGAGGTCGACTGCCTGACCGTCGTGGGAAGGGGGTTCGCACGGGCGGCCCTTGACTTCGCAGGCGTCTACGGGTATGGCCAGCCATTTGCGGACCTGAATATCCCTGGACCACAGGCCATTCGCTTTTCTGAAAGCATCTTCGCCACACCGGTACTTGAGCACTATGCCCGCATATGTGTCAGTTGGCTGCACCTGATGGATATACACCAGCTGATCCTGCACTTCCTCATCCTGTACGTTATCCCTGGCGATCTCATCTGAGTTCCTCCTCTTGTACTTGCCCGTCACATCAAGCCCCCCGTTGACGCCTTCGTGACTCTGCAATACGCTCGCTGTTCGTGCAGCCTTGAGAGCGGCCTCCCTCTCCGCTAGAGAACCTGCTGCTATGTTCTGATGACCTGGGCGAGAACTGGACGGCGGCTCAGGGCCCCAGGCTATGGGTGCCTTTCGCGGCGGGGTAGAGTAGTCTCTTTTCAAAGAGTTGACACCTCGCCTGCCCTCTCTGTGATCTGACTCGTAGCCGGCATCGTGTACACTCCCACCGGACAAGAGGGACGAGGCCAAGCCCTGGATCGACGCCCATCCTTGAGACCAAGATGTGTCCAGAAAACTGGCAGTAGACGGAGCAGTATTATTTCGACGATTCGTGGCGGATGCACTACGAGAGGTTGGTTTGGCGGAGCTGTCCCGGGACAGTTGAGCGGAGGGCATAGGGCTCGGTTCGCGGCTGGTCGGGGACCGAAGAGCAGAAAAGGAAGCCGTCAACCTGTCCATGGGGCCCGTGGGGGAGTCCTCGGCGGTGCTGATAAGGCGGCGATTACGTGGCCGAGCTTCGGCATCGTGACGTGCTGGCAGGAGGGCGGATGAAGACATGTGAGATGCCGACCCAACCGGGTTCAGGGAGTCCGCCATAGTCGAGGAAGGCCGCCCACCTCGTCGGAAAGGTGGCACACAGATTGGAGAGATGGCATCAGCGCGCGGCTTCAATCATCGACGAAGGTCGGTCGCTCGCTCGGATGGGCGGCAGCTCGAGGGACAGAACTTCGTTGGCTAGGCTCGAAAACCACTCCCTTACGCCAACCTTTCGGGGGTACGGTAGGTAGAACGAGGAACGTAAATGGCGAATTGATCGAGGTCGTCAGAACCGGTGGGAGGGATGATCAAGTTCGATCAGACGTCGGAGAGTATGCGGGCACGCGCTTGAAAGAGTCGTAAGGGGGGATCCAGGGCGCACTTCAGGGAGAAATGAGTGCAGCCGGCTAGGAAGTAAGGAATGAGTAGATGAATAGAAAGATGAGAAAGAGTACTCACGTGCAGCCGCGTTGAGTATCCGCGCAGGAACGGTATGTAAAGTAGATAGGTAGTTGCAGACTCGCTACGAAAGGCAGTTGGGGTAATGGAGGTTAGGTAAGGCACGGTGAAGGGAAGTAGGCACAAGTAAGGTAGGTCAGACAGACAGACAGACAGACAGATAGAGTCGGGTGTCCAAAGACCTGGGGTTGAGTGTCCCGTCCCTAAGGTTTGGTACTGCTACTGCGTGAGGTAAGGTAGACAGGTAGGAGCATTGGCTTGGCTTGGCTTTTAGAGACGGGAATTGGATTGGACCAGACTGGGCTGGGAGTTTGGGAACGGGACCCTTGGTTGAGACGACGTAACCAGGAGCCCTGTCCCATTCATTAATGATGATTAGCGGTGCTTGCAGCGGGGTGGGTTGGATTTATGGCTGCACTGGAGCCTGGCTGTCCTGTCATACCTCTCCCCCCCATTCGCTTCAATGCTGTTTTTGGGACCCGAATCAGCGGCGTGCGGGCTCTAATTGCTGAGGTGCGAGGGGCTTAGGAAAGGAACCTACTTCCGGATAGTGTCGCTACCTAGGTACATGCATGGTACACTGTAGAAATGTGGACGGAGATGGCGTGGGAATTCCGACCTTGCGCTCCGCCCCGACATCCCTCCACGTCCCTACCTTAGGTTCAAGTACAGTGTCATGGAAGATGCAGTTCAGCGGCCCCACACATGCAAGTCCGGTGCCGTTCCTGAAGCCCCTGGCACCTGCAGCATCATCGTCTGCACCACCAGTGTGAGGTTGCTACAGATTTAACCAAGGCCAGGCTCAAACCACATCACGTCCGAAAGACCAGGCTGAGTCGAACATCTGTCTGTAACAACCACAGTTGCGACTCAGCTAGAACCTGCCTGGGGTTTTCGGCTATGACGCGTGGCGATAGCAAGCTATCTTCTCCCCGTGTATAGTACCGACTCTGTTCGACATGCCCATCTGTATCGAATGCCGGCACCCGGTGAAGACCCTATGGACCAAATACTCCAATGCCGACGACAAGTCAAGCGGCCACAACATTCGCTTGACCGTTTGTAGGAACTGCGGCCAGTTCTGCGACAAGTACGTGGAGCATGATTTCGTCGTGCTCTTCATCGACCTCGTCTTGATCAAGCCTCAGGTCTACCGCCATTTACTCCACAACACACTGATGAAAGACGACGACCGCTTTGATGTAAGCCCAAAAATGAGCCTTTTCCAAAGCCAAAGAGACAGTCGCACTAATCATTCGCCTCGACTCAGTCTTCCATCGTCCGTCTGGGCGTGCTTTTGCTACTCTTCGATGTTTACCTGACTTGGGCCCGCATTGAGAAGCAAACTGGTCCTATGTCGACCCAAGACGAGGGCGCAAACCTAGGAAGCCTGACGCAGCAGTCAATCGTGTCGCAATACATGTTTTTCCGTACGTTCTTTTTGCCCTTTGCCGATGCGGCTGCTCTCATAGGAACTAACGGTTCGCCTGTCTAGTCATACTCTGTGCTTTATCGACCTTCGCCTTTCACGTGAGCATCCGCTTCATGACCTCGTCGACACTCTCCCCACTCAGCATGTTCAACATCTTGCCTCGATATTCTCGTCCCAATTCCGTATCGACCGCACTTCTTGTCTCGTCCTCGACCAAACTCTTTCCCATTCTTATGGTTATATGGCAGTACGACGTGCCGGCTGCTGCGCGATCGCTCGGGTGGGCTGTTGTTGCGAACAATGTTGAGGCTCTTCGGATACTTTTGGACTGCGGTTATGGAGTCGCCACGCTGCTGGCCACCACCGGTGCTCTCGCGCGGTGGTCAGTAGGGCGTGGAATCCTCTGGGCTGCCGGGTTGGATGGTGTTGATTCGATCGGGGAGACGAGCATTGCCGCAGATGGTAAAGCTCTCTGGGCTCTGCTCATGTACGTCAGGGAATGGGCGAGCGACTTGGCAGCCGGATAACAGAAGATAGGAAAGGAGCAATGGCATGGGCAGGAAACCCGCCGTAGCATTTAATACCTGACATAGTGTAAACATGATATTGCGTCCTTGTACCCCTTGCTTGTCCGCTGACGCATCTGATGCTGCACCAGCTTTGCGTGCGATCTTCCTGGCACACTTTGTCGACGACCAGAGCTTAGAATACGAGTTCGTTAAAGTGTACGACAGCCGGCCTCTTGACCAACTATGACAGAACCCCAGCCAACCCCTAACGCCAGCCATGTGAATTTGTAGTAGTGCGAAGCAGTAATAGTACATCAGTTCCATCGCGGCGCTGTGCCGCCAGCACATCAATCTCATTAGTGGTGCTCGAAGCCCGGTCGGATGTCGCTGCGTCGCGGTTCGATCAGGGGGTTGAGTTGGGCGAGGAACGTGATGGCCCACATGAGATAGCAGCATGCGAGGGCCAGGAGGAGAGAAGATCTCCAGATGCTGAAGCTAACGTCAGTCACAGTGCAACGAAGGAACGCCAGAGCACTCGTCGGCGTCGCAGAGCTTCGTGATAGCTTACATTTGGTTTTCGCCCTTTGGAGAAAGGAACCAGGCAGCGGCGGCCATGGCGGCGACGATGATGAGGCCGACGAAAATGCTATACCTGTTGGGCTCGTGTCAGCGTCGCGTCAATGACAGAAAAGACGGAGGGACATGCCCTTGCGCCATGTTGCTGGTTTTCAGGAAAGGGACGTCGATGCAGAAAGCGGTAGGCGTCAGGCTTCGCGATGGTACAGTAGTGTCGCTTCGTCGATTGATCCGGTGCTGTCGTCGTTCGGTGACGGGAGGCTGAAAGCACGCTATGAGGTTGGAACTGGGCTCCACTGATGCAGCTACATACGCCGTGCATGCACAGTGTAGAAACAGGAGGCGGACATTGGGCTACAGTGATTGCCTACCTACTACATGTCTGCTTAGTCACAAATAACCCCGTCAATACCAGCTACCTCATGAAGCATATTGCATGCCACAACGCCTGACTGACTGTGCCCGGGGGACATGAGCGCTCTGCAACAGTAACGGAATGGCTTAGCAAACAGATGTTCGTACCCGTCGTTACATGTTTCTATGTCTATGAATCGTTTTCATACTTGAGGCCAGCTTCCTTTCTCACTGCACCGTAGATACCTGCCATGTCACCCGAAGGTCCAACGTGTGCCTTGACGATCTCAAGATGCTTGTCAGCAGTCTCGATGTTCTGCAACCGCGTGCCGGCAGCTTTCGCAATAGCCATGGCATGGCGGGCATCCTTTCTCGCCAGGTCCACGGCAAACAGGGGCTCACCTCTCTTGTAATAGTCGCCCTCCAGCATGCGGTTTGTGTACGCCGGGTATGGGCTGCCACCAAACATGGCCTCAACAAACTGCTTCACGTAACCCGTTCCCAGGCCGCTCTTCTCTGCAGCAACATATGTTTCGGCAAGCTGCTCAACCATGCCGAGGATCACGGTATTACCAAGCACCTTCAAAGTCGATGCCTTGCGGTATGGTTCGTCGGCCATGTTGATTTCCCGAGCTGCCATCGCATCGACGTACGAGCGGATCTTCTTGATCGACGATTCCGGGCCTGCAAGAACCAACGTCGCGTTCCCAGTGGCTACCATGGCGGGGGACCCAAAGATGGGCGCGCAGATGAACTCAGCGCCCTTTTCCAAAACCGACTTTGCAACAGCGTCGGTCGTCTCGGGAGCAATGGTTGAGCATTCGACAAACACTTTGCCTTTGATGTCTCCATTAGTAGCAATGGCGAAGACCTCTTCTACAGCCTTGTCATCGGCGATGCAGGAGAAGATGATGTCGGCTTTGTCAATGGCATCAGCGAGAGACTCTGCAACCTCGGACTTGCCCTTTGGCAGACTTTGGCAGAGATCCGTGGCACGTTTCACAGTCCGGTTGTGAATGAGAAGTGGCTTGTCGAGTTGAGCTTTCTCGACGAGATTTTGGCACATGCCCTGGGATGAAAGATTAATCAGTGAGTGGTCTTGTCTGACCAGGTAGGTGGGTAATCAAACATGTGGAGATGTGGACAGGCTCACTCACCCTCCCAATGTTGCCAAGGCCGATCCAGAGTAGAGTCCGGGACATTGTGAAAGCTGTCGTTTTCAATGGGGAATTACTTGAGAGGTTCAGGTGTCGGCCGACGTCGAGTAGAAGAAGAAGACTATGTATGTAGGCGGAAGTGCTTCATTTCAATGGATGAACAAGCATTGGTCGATGAAGTAAGTGACTTGCCAGCGGCAGTTGGTTCGGGATATCCGGTCTAACGAAACTGGATGTGACAACGCGGGTTGATGCACCACCACTCAGTTCCTTAGGTTACCTGAGGTAGAAGCGGGGTCGGCAAACGCAGCCCGAGACACTGGAGCCCTGAGGCGCTTTCAAAGTACCTAGCTAGGGCGGCAACCTGGTGCATCAACGGAGACCGAGATGATGGCTTTGTTTCCGATGGAACGGGGTTGCGGCAGCTCCCGTCCATGCAGCCAAATCGCTGCGTTGCGGCACAGTAATGTCGACAACCTGTCTCGTTGCTCGTTGCACCTGGTGTAAGTGATTTCATTGCGCGCAGCCCTTCAGGCGATGGTTAGTTGAGGAATAGCGGGCCATCACATGCTGAGCTGTTTCGCAGCAGCTCATCGCGGGCGAATGGAATTGCCGCGACAAGTCTATGCGCCAATTATTTGTTTCTCTCAAGTTGCCATCTACCTCTGTTGCTTGTCCGACTTCTCGCCTCGGTGCTACGGTGATACATTACGGTCGCCGATCGCCGGCACCGTGATAGGGACCATGCAGGCCTTATCCGCTTATCAGTCGGGCTTCTGGTAGGTTGATTGACTCACAATGTGGAAAGTCTTGGGTCCTAAGCAGGGTCAGGGCCCGACGTCTTCACCTTCGCTCTCGAGCTTCGTTACCGACTCCTCAAACTGTCTTTCTACACACGCCATCCTTCCAAGCACTGTCCAAAGTGTCATTGATCGTCGCCCGAACAGACCTCGCTCCGCATGGCCGTCTGAAGAGATGGCCGGGCTTTGACCCTTTCCCCCCTCTCGACACGCGCTGCTTGTGGAGTCCAACAATAGTGCTCGCGAGACCGGTGTGCAGCTTCCCCTGCGTTTGCTCTCAAATACATAGCCACTGCAGAGCAGACACTGGCAGCAAGCTGACGACTGGACCTCGTTATTTCATTCCGAAGCTCTGCGGCCGTTCACCCTAAGACAGTGTTCAGGACCTGGCTTAGAAGTTCATCTCACCAGCTCTCTACCCTAGCCACCTCAGCAAAGTCACTGGGCAGTATGCGTACTCCTGCGCTAAAGCAGGCTGGCCATTTGGTCTCAAGAGTGAGTCTCTATCTGCCCTTGCACTCCGAGTTCCGCTCTTTATTGCGCACCTTCTAAGTCGTACTATTAGGTGCCTTTCGCTCTCGATTCATGCTGCCCACCCAACCGCAGACTGTATCACCGTCCGAGGTCGGGTGGCACCCGGCAGGACGAAGCTTTACAAGTTGCCCTGTCAGCTGTTAGACACTCTTCTAGCTCCAAGGCACGAGAGAAAAAGAGGGCTGAAGATCGGGTATGCCCTCTTATTGATCACTGCGCCATGCGTCAGCCTCTGACTATTGTTATAGGAATTTATAGTGTCTGTGCTGGAGGCTTCGGCGACTCGCCGTGATGCCAAGGGCTACCTGCAGAAATATGCTCCGCCAGGCGAAAGTAACGCCAAGAAGCGCAAGACGGGTGCTTCTCAAGAAACACCAGATCAGACCTACTCTTCTATCAGAGTTGTCAACCAGTCACCGAAGTTCATCCAGGGGGAAGGCACGCCGAAGAAACAGGAATGTGTGCCGGAGGATGAGCCCATCAACCTCGCCATTGTCAAGATGACTCTTCCGCAAGACCTGGACGACCAAACGCTGAGCGCTATCGCCAAGACGTTTTCGCAACTCCGCAAACTTGGACTTGTGAGTGTTATCGTTCTTGACGGAGGATCGCAGTCGTCTCGAAAGATTCTCAGAGAGCAGTCTTGGCGGGTCCAACAAGCTGTGGAGAGCTTTGGTGAACCGGGCTCGATCCTGCTAGACCAGTGTGTTGGCGAGGCAGAGAAGCACACGGCTGACACGAAGGGCTTCATGCCTTCTAGCGTCTACGTTCAGTACCCACACATGGTACTTCGAGCTCTTCAGGACAATGCAATTGTGGTCATACCCCCCGTGACGATGGCTACTGACATGAAGAGTATTGATGTGGTGGATGCTGACGAGACCATCGTCGCCCTCACAAAGTACTTCTGTGGGCTTCAGTTGAACGCGAGTGAGACCCCCGTGGAATCGCCGAGATCCACCCAGGGTGCGGGAGTCAAGGTGGCCTCTGTCGAAAAGGTCATCATCCTAGATCCTGCGGGGGGGACACCACTTGCGGACGAGCACGATTCATGCCACCGTTATATCAACCTGGAACAAGAATTCGAGGGCATCATGTATGCCCTCACACACCCGTCGGGAACAGAGGCGCGACGGGGAAAGGTGCCCGAGAGTGTGCGGCAACAGCATGCTCGTAACCTGCACCTCGCGAAGAGCGTGCTTGCCATGTTGCCGTCAACGTCGTCGGCTATTATTAGTACACCAGCAGCCGCAGCCAATAAGCCCATCCAAGAATTTACCAGAGTTACGACGCGTAACAGGCAGAACCCTCTGATACACAACCTCTTAACAGACAAGCCTGTCTTCTCCTCATCGCTACCAATCGAAAGAGTCCGCTCAGGAAAAAAAGGCGACGCCGTCTCGGGAGATGCGCATGTGGCCACACTCATTAAGCGGGGGATGCCGTTGACGGTGTATCCCGACCCTAGCGCCTGGCTGCCTCCCCGACCAGGAGCACCTCGTCTGAGGCTCACAGACACCTGCATAGATCTTCCGCGGCTGGTCTACCTCATCAACGACTCATTCAACAGAGAGTTGGATGTCCAGCATTATCTTGACCGCGTCAACGAGAATTTGGCTGGTATCATCATCGCAGGGGAATATGAAGGCGGCGCGATCCTCACATGGGAAAAGCCCTTTGGTATCGACGAGGAAACAGCTTACAAAACAGGACGGCTTGTACCTTACCTCGACAAGTTTGCGGTTCTGAAAAGCCGCCAAGGAAGCGGCGGGGTTGCGGATGTGGTCTTCAACGCCATGGTCCGAGGTTGCTTTCCTGAAGGAGTGTGTTGGCGTAGTCGACAGGACAATCCCGTGAACAAGTGGTATTTTGAGCGGTCTCTTGGAACATGGAAGCTAAGGGATACCAACTGGACCATGTTCTGGACAACACCGCATCTACCTCTCAGCGATCCGAAGCTGCTAGACTACGAGAATGTCTGCCGTAACATTGAACCGTCCTGGGCAGATTCAAAACCACCAGACTAAGACTTGAGGGGGGCGATTCCTGCGTCGAGCCGTGCTCATAGATTTTGATGATAGACTTGTGGCGTTTTAAGGACAGGAAAAGAAGGGATCAATAGAAGGGTAAATGAAAGGGCCAATTTGCTCATGATATTTCGTTGAGAGCCACATTGTTGGTCGGCTCGTGCGAACAGATCATTCCAGCTGGTGGTGGTTGTTGTTAGGGTACAAACCGTTTGAGATATCGGGCAACTCTTCAGCATTCTTGGGTGCGTGGGAAAGGCACCACAGGCCCAGGGGGAGAATGACAATCACCTACCTATGAAGCTTCCAGAGTTAAGAGTGGGCATTGAAGCGCAAAAACACAGGTTGCTGTGCCCGTGCATGCACAATTCCGAGTGACTGCAGAGCAGCACGAATCAGAAACACTGAACTGTCCAATTGCTCTGCGGATCCATCCGTCACGTGTCTAGCGCGACTCTTAGCGTTCCCTGGCGCTGGTCCAGGGGAATATGGATGGCCTGTGACAGCATGCTAGGTAGCAGTGAACGTTGCTGTGCTGCTAGGTAATTTAAGGTACCTATCTGCCTACCTTACGGGATACTTGTCTACCTCAAGCTGATAGGCACGAGGCCAAACTTCATCAACCCAACCACTGTTGTCGCTGCTAACGACACCTTGCAAAGACAATACCACGCACCGACCTTGAATTCCCATTCTAGATTCGCATTTCTCTCACCAGACGCTGCCCAAAAATACCGCAACGATGGATTTCAAGAATCTCGGAAAGAACTTTACGTACGCCTTTGTCGCGCACCTGGCTCACATATCGCGAGGGGCATCTCCAGGCTGACGAATAGTGCGCAAACCAGCTCCTTCGGGGCTTCAATCACCCCCTTTGCCTCCCGTACCTTCCAATACACCAAGGAACAGCTCGGCCAAGCCGAGGATAAGGTCAGTATCTGCTTGCCAACCCAGCTACCTCGTCATTACCCCGAGCGAAGGCTGATCGATATCCACCGTTACAGACCCAGCTTCCTCCTGACTACATTGATCTCGAGAAGAGAGTCGACGCCCTCAAGCAGGTCCACCAGAAGATGCTGGCTGTGACGTGAGTGCTGTCCAACCATTGCATCCGCATCAGGGTCGGCGTCCTTGCCCACTAACACGGCGTCTCGACAGCTCACAATACTCGAACGAAGCCTACGACTACCCGCCCAACATCAAGGAGACATTCCAGGATCTCGGCCGCACCGTTAGCGAGAAGGTCACTCTTCTGTCTTCCGCAAGCTCTCCTGCCGAGGCCCAGGCCGCTCTGACAGCACCTCCCTCCGCGAAGCCCCAGCCCAAGACTTTCAACCATGCCATCGCCCGTGCCAGTCTGGCTAGCAGCCAGGTCCTCCACCAGCAGCACACCGGCACCGGAGAGGATCCTCTGGCTACGGCTCTGGAGAAGTATGCACTGTCGATGGAGCGTGTTGGTGAGGCTCGCATGGCCCAGGACGCCCAGATTCAAAGCCGATTCCTTGCAGGCTGGAACACCACCCTGAACACCAACTTGATGTTCGCCACGCGTGCTCGCAAGAATGTCGAGAACTCGCGACTGACTCTCGACGCTGCCAAGGCACGCGCTCACGGCACCACCTGGAAGCTCGGTCCTGGATCCCCACGCGCGGAGGAGGGCCAGCCTCAGGAGCTGAGCCCCGAGGCCCAGGAGGAGATTGAGAAGGCCGAGGACGAGTTCGTCACACAGACTGAGGAGGCCGTGGGTGTCATGAAGAATGTTCGTTTAATGACTTGTTGCATCTCACTGGAGTATTGCTGACCATACCATCAGGTCCTTGACACCCCGGAGCCCCTCCGCAACCTCGCCGATCTCATCGCTGCCCAGATTGAGTATCACAAGAAGGCCTACGAGATCCTGAGCGAGCTTGCCCCTATCGTGGACGGCCTGCAGGTCGAGCAGGAGGTTGGTCGCGCCGCAAACTTCGACGTATAACGAGCCCCCATCCGTACTGACGCCCGTCGCTTTAGGCCAGCTACCGCAAGAGCCGCGAGAGCGCCTCCTAGGAAGCCTATAGGTTCTAGTGTCTTTGTATGTGAACACACTCTTAGTGATGGCAATTTCTGCTCCTCAGGAGCCTGTCGGCGTTTCTGAAGCTTCTCGGCCCGGGCAACACGGAATCGCTCTGAGACGAGGGCGGAGGCCCGTTTCCTCTTTTTTCCCCCTGTTGTGGACAATTTGACTCGAGCCGCCCTTGCTGTTATACACCACGTTATGTATTGGAACGGCATGTTGCCGTTCCAAAGCCCCATTATCGCCTGAGATAATCCATTTCATGCCTGATGCCCGCAAGTTAGCAGATAGAGCATCCCATTTGACCCGTGCTAGATGGGGATTTCCCATTGCACCAATAGAAATTCACAACTGTTGTGCATGATATATCCCCGCCTAATTAGGACATTGTTTATGAGGAACGTGATAGAGTTATTGAGCGAGACGCAGTGTATTCTGTATGAACCAACACGACCTAATCTCACCCATTCTTAACACTAATTTCAAGCTGTTTTTCTTACGATACGTTACTGTGAAGTCACCCTAGCACGGAAGCTGTGAGTTATTGGTGGTGGGGGCATCACGTGATTTTGAACGCTGACTTATGTAAGGAAGTCTACTGGTCAGCCAAGTCAGAGCGACATTGGCATAGCAGCTCCCGACCTCACGCTCCACTGTCCAATCCCCCCCAACGCCGCAACACCAATTCGAGCCAATTGATACCGCAAACATGCGAAGGACATTTCGCCTGCTCGCGGGCGTCAAGCCTGTTCGTTATCTCGAGCCTGGCACCCCAACGGGTCTCACGGGCCTTTGGACACACAACAGCCCGCGGTCGACGTTGCTGTACGTCTACGGCAACACCCTCGACAAGCTCAAGGCGATTCCCGAGTCTTCCCTGTACCGCCAATCCGTCGAAGCCCTGACGAAGCACCGTCTTGCCCTTGTCGAAGCCACCATACCTCCCGGATACGAGGAGTGGGAGAAGAAGGCCGAACAGATCGTCAAGGAGAAGCCCGAACAATTCCGCCTCGTCAGCGGTCGCGTTGACGGCAGCGGCGCTCGCACGGTCAAGCTCGGCAACAGGATGTTCGTCGTGGGCAAGCAGCACGAGGCCAAGGATGTTCGCTTGGAAGAGTGGGACGGTGAGAAGGACGAGGGTGGCACTATGGAGGGCCCGCGCACCGAGGCAGAGCGTCAAGATCATAAGCTGCTTGCCGAGCGCAAGGATGTGAACGACGTAGCCAAGGTTCAGTGGGAGCCTGAGCCGCAACTGACGGCCGACCAGTACGTCTCGGGCAAATTGGTTTTTTGAGCATATTGGCGGAACTGACATGGTTGTGACTAGGATTGCTGAGCTGGAGAACAAGATTGGAGCTGGCCTCATTGAGGAGGTTATCCAGGTTGCCGAGGGTGAGCTGAAGCTCGTGGACACGATGATCCAGGCCAAGGTGTACGTAACTGATCCGTCCCGACATATCCAGCATCGAATGTACTGACCACAACGCTACTACAGGTGGGAGGACCTAGAGGAGAAGCCTGTCGAGGGGCAATGGACTTACTTTGAGCGGAAATAAGCCGAGCCGCTAGCCGCAGAAAACGTCAACCGCTTATAGACTGTGTATAATAGGCAACAATGATGAGAAATGTTGCTTCTGTACAGGAAACCAATCATGTGAAGTTGGTCAATGAAGGCTGTTTTGGGTGGCAATGCAAGACATCGAATGCGTTGCGCTGATGTTACGCGTATACGCCCTCCTGCCACACTAGCGATTGCCTTGGAGGTTGGGATTAGAAATGCGATTTAGGCACTGATTTGACGCTTAAAAGTCTGGGTCTACACTGACAAGATGCAAAGACCCTTTTGGTCGTGCGTTGTTGATAGCTCAGATGAAAACGCTAACGTCTGGTTGACCTAACTAGCCTCTGACGTAATTAAGCCTTTTCGCCGTCTTGAGAAGTTTTTACAAGTCTTTAAAACTAACAGTGTTTTCTTGCAGTCTCCTAATGACCAATGTCCCAGCTGTAGAGTGATTCCGTTGTGGCCTTGTCGTGTGGTTGTGCCTAACATGCTGGAGCCTGCTTGCTAAATCAAGAAAGAAAGTTGATTTGGTGGGGATCCCACCCTAAATCCCCACCGGCGGAAAGCCTCCATCAGAACTCCTCAACTTCACCGAATGAACGCAAGGAAAATCGACTTCGCCGCTGAGTGGGCTCCAGCATTCGCACTTGCTTGGGACCAAGCAATCGCAAAAGCCTACACAGGGGGTTTTCTCAAAGCAATAGCCGCTGGCCGATGGTGTCTGTGGCCATGAGCCAGCCGCAATCCAGCCGCAAGAGGTCCGCCTCTGCCATGTCCACCAGCAACAGCCATGACGCCTACCACTCTCACCTACCTAGCGACTCAATCAACCCGCTCAGCCATACTCCTTTTATTCTCAGTCAGCTGCGTCTCGCAGGTCTAGCGGAGACAGACCAGCCACCATCACGAGACCAGCCCAAGTTCCCGCACCGTGCCTGGCAGGATCCAGATGCACCATCCAAACGGGGCGCTGCTGCCGCTGCCGTGGCGGAACAGCTAGAGAGTGACAGCGATAACGATGAGGAGGTAGAGCATGATGTTGGAAGTAAGCGCCGGCCACGGAAGAAAGACGAGAAAAGGGCCAAGTATTCATCGGAGAAATCGCATTTCAGGCCTCTTATCAGGGCCATCTACGCGTTCCTGGACAAAGGGGACGTCGTCAATGCCAAGCGCGCTTTTGGTATCCTCGTGAGGTCCAGCGTGCACGGTAGACCGGTCGACATCAGACGCAACAATTACTGGGCTCTTGGCGCCGAGATACTCATGCGTGAAGGCGGCGTAGCCGCTCCGGACGAGGGAAAGGAAGCGGAGGCTTATCCTGCCGGAAATATCCCACGGGTACGCGAGTACTTTCAGGACCTCATCCAACAATATCCGTACAACTTCAAGTGGCGTAGAGCCGTTTCTGCCATCGACTTCTGGCCCGCGCTGCTGAGTTACGAGGTTTATCAGGTGCACACGCAGCATGGGGCCTCGTTACGCAGGCTGGAGAAGGAGGCGGAGGACCGGGAGGATGACTCGTGGCAGGAAAGTTCTCTTGGTGACAGTCAAGATGAAATGATGATGGACGATCCCGAGTACAAGGACGGGATCTCGCGCTGGCAGGCAGATTCGCGGGGCCGGCGGCTTCGTCAGGCAAGAGACCAGATTAGGCTGCGCACGCTGGACGGCCTCAGAGAGATCGCTGGTCGTATGGACGACTTGCTCGAGGACCGGCCATATTCTACCAACCCTGAAATTCTGAGGTTGAGAGGGATGGTGTCTCTACATATAGGAGACCTTCTCATCCCGGCGCGTGTTGAGGACCAAGGGCTCATGTCTGAAGCAAAAGCACGACGCGAAGCAGAGAGGAATAACGCACGAAGCAACTTTCAAAAAATGGTCGAGCATGGCGGCCGGGCTGATGCCTTCGTCCAGCAAATGCTGGCTCCGGGGGAGGAAGACGATGGCCCTATACTGCCCATCTTCTCGTCACTTCCCATCAGAGAGCATCGAGCAGATAGCTAAGCAATGCTTGATATTTCATCATTATTCCCCATCCGAGATATCGAAGTCAACGCCGATCCAAACGCTGCATTTCGTCTGCTGTCTTATGTCTCTCGTTTAGGTGCCCATCTTTGCAACAGCAAAGCAAAATTGGAGCTGCCCACAACAACACACCATTCTCCTCCTGGACTCCATGCCACCTGTCTACCAACGAACGATGACGCGCCGAAGTTCTCTATCTTGTGAGGCTTGAGGGGCACTTGCGGGTTCTCGACGTTGTACTTGGTATCCCACATCAAGAGCGTCTCCTTGTTGTACACATTGGCGAAGGTGGGAATTTGCTCAAGATCCGACGGGTGTGCCTTGCCAGCCGCTTTGCGCTCTCTTACCGTGGGTTCAGCTTTGGCTCCACCATGCGTACGATGAACGACGGCTGTCAACCAACTCGGCCTTTCGGGGGGAGCATCAGGGTTCTTTTCTACTTTCTTGGTGTAGTCATGGAAACCCGTGATTTGCTCAAAGTCCCAGAAGAAAATCTTCCCGTTGGCATTGCAGAAAGCGAGAACCGGGTGCTGGTCTGGGACGAAGTGCAGCTTGAATCGCATGAAAAACTGTGGACCACAACCGGGAGTCGCGAACTCCATCAGACGGGTGTACGGTGCTGGGCATTCGGCCGAGACGCCTGGGTTGAAGGCGGACCGCGTCAAATTGGCCGGGTTGATGGTGGTGGGAGCCATGTCTTGCGACGGCCGGGGATCTTCTGAGGAGAAACCTTCAATCTTCCATAGAACGATGACATCGTCGTGGCAAGCGCGGGAGAGGATGTAATCACCAAAGAAGGCGACACTGCTTGGCGTGAGTATTCATGTTCACGTACGGTACCACAAAGCACATACCAATCCACAAGACTGCTGTGTACTTCGGAAGTGGAAAAGTGAGGATAGTGGACCTCGACAGGACGATCTGTAGGCTCGGTCGGGAGGTCCGGCACAGTCCACTGTCTTCATGTTAGACAGTGAGAGAAATGTTGAACTAAATTCATGCTCACCAGGTTGATGATCTGATCGTGACCGGCGGACAGGATGTAGCGGCCAGTATCATGCCAGGCCTTGAGAGGACGTTAGCAACATCTTTCCTTGAGATGAGAATAGGAGACACTGACCAAGGTGAGGAGGTTCCAGTAATGGCCTTCGCCGCCGAGAATGCACAGGCAAGGCTGTTTCTCATGTCTTGGGTCCAAGCTCCAGATCCGAACGGTTGTGTCGTCTGAGCAGGAGGCAATAATCAAGGGGTCTAACGGAGACGTGACGACGTCGCAGATGTCCTAGTAGTTCGTATCAGCACGAGCACTTTTGGCAATATGTGGCACTCAAGATCAGGGTGATTGACTCCTCCATGGCCAACTAAACACTGGATCATGTGTTAGCAACAGACGTAAAGTTGTAGGTATCCCTGCGGGACGTACGTTGACAAGCTTTTTCTCAAAAATATCATAAATTTTGATCTTTGCATCCTCACCACCGTAACACAGAAGTGGCTTTCCGGTCACGACATCCTTAGTCCAGGTGCAGCAGTAGTTTCTTGCTTCGGGCTGCAATCGAGTCAGTTATTTTGCTCTTGGGGGTGGATAGGTGGACCACGTGGTAGAGCTCACATCGTCATCGCGAATTATGCTGATGATTTCACAAGGGTTTGAGTCATCTGCTGTTGCTGAGAGGCGGCAGATGACGATCTGAGGTGGCATCAAAAGTCAGAAGTGTACAGAAGCATTGATTGAGGCAGAAGCCCAAGGGAGGGGGCACTTACATGCTTCTTGCTGACAGCAGCAAAGACTGGCCTTGCATTCAGCGGCTGATAAGGGCAGAATTTTACATCAAAAAATTCCGGGACAGGGTCATCCTCTGCAAGATAGCTGGTATCGTCGTCGAGGTGAACTGAGACTCTCAGCCTAGGGAAGTCGTAGGGAGTGGCAGTGACGGTGGGGGCCATTGCGGAATTGACCCGTAGGTAGGTCGCGTCGTTTTGGGGTGACCAGACAGTTGGAGAGATTAGATGAGGAAACTGGACAGCAGCGGCAGGCAGGCGGCGACGCCACAAGCGGCACCCGACCTCAAGCAGCTGTCAGCCTTGGACGTAGCAGATCTGTCTACCCAGGGGGTGAGACAAGAGACAGCGGTAGGCCGGAGCAGGAGCAGGAGCAGGAGCAGCCGAAGTCAGAGCCGGAGGTGGGCTTCAGTTCAGTTAGTAATAACAAGACTGGACGTGATGCAGACGGAGTGCAATTCGAGTGGGTCTAGGTGCTGGGGCGAGGCGGAGGATACGGCCAGCGACACCGACCGAAGGCGGGTGGATGCGGGCACGTAAGGTATCCGTACAACCTGGAGTAGGTGGCTACCTCGTCACCTCAGGTGCGACCTCAGGGTGGACGGGGACGGGACTGAGAGAGAACAAGAAGAAAAACAGGCGCGGAGAGAGGTGAGACGGAGCAGACGCGTCGTTAGCAGTTGGCAGTTTGTAGATGGCAGCTGGCAGGCAGCAGGGCATCGTGAGCTGTGTGTTTTTTTAGTGGAGGCCGGCTGACAGCACGCTCGTGGCTCCAGGTGGTGTCTTCAATCAGCGCCCGGTAGTGTACTGCAGGTGAGGTGGGCTGCAAGTCAGAGGAGTCGGGTGCTTCCAATTCAAAATTAGACAAAGTCTGGACTCCAACCCCCAACGCCTTGTGACGGCGATCGACCTTTGAGGGTTCCGGATTGACAGCCTGCCTTGTGCTCTGAGTGACCGCTTTTCCAGTGCCCCCTCTTCGGTTGGCAAAGCGAGTGGAACAAGCACGCAACTTTGGACCTGGTAAAACGGCTGACCACATCCTCGACCACCAGACAGTAAGGGTTCTTGGCGAAATTGTCCCGTATACCTCTCAGTATCTATCTACTTTGCAGCGACACGGACGGAAAACGGGCGTAGGTAGGTAGCGTCCGTCGGGTGGTGGACCGGCGGTGCAGTTCGTCGGCC